CTCAAGTCTTCCCATTTTGCCCAGTCACTTTCTGATTATAAGAACATGAGGATAGAGTGAAAAACACATGTAGGTTAAGTAATTTTAAATAACCAATTATCCATATCCAGCCGTGCTGGATTTGGGGTTTGATTGCTTCAGGCACACAACCTTTTTCTCCAGTTATCTTTTCACAGCCCACAAACACAATTTCCTGTTAAAGTAGCATTGTCCTGAAAATTCACCATATACTGAATTTTCCAGTCTGAGCACTCTGACCCAGTTCTAAGTCAAAAGTTTTTCTGTACAGCTAAGTAAAAAACTTAGTAAATCATAAGTGAACAATACTGGCCTAATACAACAAGATTCTTGTAATGAAGTAGAAGCTGAATGCTCAGCTCCTGAAAAATCCATCTCTACATTTTACAGATAAACAACTGGAAACCGCAGAGTTCTATTTCCAAAATCCACATAAAATGCTGTACATTTGACTTAACATTTCGCTGTAGCTTTCTGATTCACAAAATCATAAATCAAAGTATTTGCTTACTTTCTCCCCGTAATAGCTGCACAATGCTGAAATTTTGCCACCAATCATGGAGCACTGAATCTGTTTTCAACAAGCATTTCTTTATTTTATTTTATAGAGCATCAGGTTAAAAAATGACCCATATTTCTGTGGCACTTTCTCTCCTGTATGCATAGCAACAAAGAAAGAAAAAAACACGAGAACTTATTATTTTGTTAAGTTTGTTTGACTAAATGAAGTTATAAAAAAATAATGAAAATCTCTGCAATTCACCATAAAAATTTCAGTTCCAAAAAGAGCCAGTAAAGCTGTCAAAGAAAAAAAATATTTCGATGGTATATACTATTAGACCATACATAAATGAAACTGCGCATACATCAAGACCTAAATAACTATATAAATGCATCCTAAATTTCCTGAAACAGATGGTGGATAATATACAGACAAGATATGCATTCCAAAAAGATTTTTCCTTAAGAAGAATAAGAGGGAGAAGATGAAAGAATACTGGGGGAAATATTTAAAATACTACTAAATTTAAACAAAACCCACAAGATTATGCTGCAATATTAGACAACGCAAAGCAAATGAATGCAAGGGATGAGACAGTCATTTTGGCCCTGATTCAGGAAATTGCTTAAACACATCTATGAGGAGAGCTTAGTTCAGGAAAGAATGTAAGTATAAGCTTAAATTTAAGCATGATGAGATTTTCACCAACTCTCTGGCCCCTGTATCCTGGGTGCAGCTGCTGGAGTAGTGGGAGGAGATACCAGAAGTCCTCTGTACGGCAAAGGCAGGTGTAAACGGTCTCCTGGCAGATGATCTGCGTGTGATGGCCCGCCAAGGTGTGGTGTAGGAGAGCGTCTGAATGAGGGCAAATCTACGAGCTCCCGGAGCGCTGGGGTTTCCGTACAGCTCGCACTTTACAGAGCAGACTGGGGAGGCTGCCTGATCTGCATTGGCCAAAAACTCCTGTAGGCAGCGAAAACTCCTGAGATCATGAAGGTATTTTTATGTGACCTCTGTCCCTTCTCCTTCTAGCTCTTCTGTGCTTCTCCCCTTAGAAACGCAGCAAACTCTCACTTCAAGAGCTTAAATACCACTGGCTTAAACAGGAATTGGGCACGTGCCTAAGGTCTAAGAATAAGAATACTTTCGCATCTTGGGGTGATCAGTAAAGATAATGTTTCCACTGCAGTGAGCAAGCAGGAGGAGATAGGAATATTGTAGTTAAAACTGTGGAAAAGGAGGAACCCTTGTTGGTTCTCTTCCTTAACCCACTACCAGAAAGTAGCAATGAAAACATTCTCTGCATTTCTCAGGCACTGGAGATAAAAGGAGCTCCATCAAACACAGTTATATATCCTAGACGGTGAATACTTGTTGTCAGAAGTGTTCAAGCAGATTGCAACATGTTCTTTATCTCTTTAAAAATACTTAAGTTAAAACACTTATTTCTGGATAAGTCCTTTATCTGTCGTGACTGTCCACCCTCTTACCAAACTAATAAGTGTATTATTCAGATTACGGGATCAAATGTGAGGGAAGGTTGCTATGGTTGTGCTGAGATAATAATTTTGTGCTTCCTATGTGTTTTATACTGCATCTGGCACGCAGAGCAGTTCATTCAAGTTTATATTTAGGGTGAGAGAATGATAATATAGTGTTTGTGTGATGGCCACTTGGACAGCATAATCTTAACTTCAGGAATTTCCTCACTCCTTGGAGTTTCTGATTGCGGCTTCAACAACAGAACAGCCTGTTTACCCTATCTGTTGAGCAGCAAGGCACTCTTTCGTATTTTATGCTACAGTTTTTGCATTAAATTTTCTAGCGATTTTTTTTTTCTATTTTGTAGGTAGCTTTAAGGAGATTTAAGAGGGGAAAAAAAGCAGAAGATAATAATATTTTACAAAATATAAGCCAATAAAGAACAAAACCTCTTTGATCTACCCTAAGGACCACCACACTCACCAGTATGGCTTAGTTCAGCTGTTTCTAAATTTCATTTTCTGAACCACTCTGTTTATGTATCTATTGCTTTTTGCTGGATTTGCCAGCAGACCGTGGAGATTTAAAACCTTCAAAATATCAACCCAAATAAGACTGGAGGCTCTTTGCAAGTGTTCTTAAAATACAAAATGGTTGTATAATAGTACACCTTTGCATCATTATGGAAAAGAATCATTTAGTTCCCTCTCTTTCAGATATCTCACATCTAAATTGCAACAGGAAAGCCAGAGTTCAAAAATCAGTCACAGAGATGATGGCAGAGCTTCATATTTACCATACTTTCAGTGGAAGCATTTTCCCAAGTAGTAACAACTGGTTTTGGTCTATTTTTAAAACCAGCATTCTAGACCTAACCCCAGACTCACCACAATACGCTGTTTTTGATTGCATGAGATCAAAACCACACCTTGAACATGTAAGCTAGTTTTGCAAACTGCAAAATTGTTATTGTCTGCTTTTGCCTTATCTATGCATTTTCTTCTTAATGTTGCAAGACTTTTAGGTTTGTCCACCAAATGACATAAAATGACATTGCTAATGATAGTGTTACCAAAAATAAAATTTCCTTTTTTTAAAAAAAGATATTTTTATAGAATTAAGCGCACGTCATTTTTGAATATGATGTTTTATTTGCAAAAATGTAAATGATCTTTTCACTAAACAGCAAACAAAATGATGTATCTCTGAAAAATATGATAATGCTTTTTTAAGGATGTGCAGATGGTGCAGTTAGAACATCTGCAGCAATAGAGGATCTGAAGAGAACAGGAATTCTTTGAGAGGATGAGTTACTACCTCCAATCTATTTTTTTGCAATTTTTTCGCAATGTTCTTACTGAGAAGCACTCTCTACCCTGGAGTGCTCAATATTTGGCCTGTTTTCAGAGCTTCTACTATACTCAAGAGAAAATCTTAATCATAAAATCTATTAAACATTTTAATCAGCCCACAGTCCATTTTTCAACATGTCACCAGCTCAGGTTTTTTATTTGCATCAAACAATGTTTATTTACACACAGAGAAAGCACCTTCATAAACAAGATAGTCATGTAATATGGAGGGTTAGTGAAAGGTCAGCAAGGATGGTGAGAGGTATGGTGTGGTTTCAGGGTGAAGAATCACTAAGTAATCTTGCACTTTTCAGACCAGGAAGAAAATAACCAGGGAATATATAAGAGGTCTAAAAGGCAGTCCCTTTCAGGGAGAAGACAGTGTGGACTGACAGCTCACTGCCTTTTCAAGAAGTAAGGTGTGACAAATGAAGCTTGCAGGAAGTGGGTTCAAGCTGGACAAAAGATGCAGCTGCACTGTGGATCTCCTTGCCGTAGGGTGTTTTATGTGACAGAAGCTTACACAGGTACAAGGGGACACTGAACAAAGCCATGGAAGAGAAATCCATTCAATATTGCTGACTGCTTAGAAATTGCATCTGGTTTAGAAATCCTGCAAATGCCTGGACGCTGGAGGAATACAGCTGTGGAAAACATCATACACCTTGTCTTGATTTTGTACTCTTCCCTAGACATCCTTTTTTTGTCCATTGATTTGATTGCAGAGGTAGATGAATACTTGGTCTGACCCTATGGGGCTACTCTTCTGTTCACATATTTCGGTCCCCTTGCGGCAGAAATGGTTAAGTGTGCAAATGTGCAGGTACAAATTTATTGAAACTTATGCCGAAACTTTTAATGATCTTCCCTACCATTACACATCCTTCAGTGTGTCAAGAAGAAAGGGGATTATAGTGATTACACAGTAGGTGTTGTGCTTGAAGATCATCGATGAGATAAGGAGCACTTTACAAAAAAAGGTCTCTGCCTAGACTATATGCCTAGTTTCATCTAGTCTAGATTAACATCTTCACAAAATTAAGATACGTTAAATATATCATTTTCAACATCCTCACAAAAGTCTGGCTTTGGTTCTTCAGTTCAGAGGTGCTTAGACTATTAAACTACCCAGGGAATAATGTCCACCTTAAAATAGAAGTATTTTTACCCATTTCACTTAAAGTTCAGTAATCCAAGACAGTGAATGAACTGTAAAAAGTACTTCTTAAAACCAATATTTCAAACATATTTTAATCTTCTTTGTATGGTATTTCTATGTTATCCAATTTTTTTTCTAATTCTGTTCATTATGCAAGTGCTGGAAGGACTTATGTACTTCATCCTCTGTGAGTGAGGGCTCTGCCACCCCTTGTATTATGGCTACTATAGATGGTGAGAACACTGCAGCTGTAGGTGCAAAGGCTCCAATTCCTCAAAAGGCCAATGTGGACCCTGAGGGAGCAAGCGATTTATTCCATGTTACACAGTGATCTTGTGTTTGATGGCTTCTTGTCTTGGTTGTCTTGCCCAGATTTTGATTTCCAAATACATTTTACAACAGCCCTGAAATGGAAAAAAGAATTAAACAAAAACATACCTAAGTAGGTTTACATAAATTATTCCAATTGTTCCCTTCTCATCCGCAATCACTGTAACTGTTTTGCAAAGTACTTCTTTGCAATCTCCAGAAGCTTGTTCCTGTTTTCTCTACTGGCAACACAAATATTAAACTACAGAGAAACTTAAATAGTTCACCCTAAGGCATGTTTGTCATCAGTAATACCATATTTTGATCAATAAAACGTAAATTGCATTGTAAGCTGTCCACCTACCAGTGAAGAATCATAAAGATCATAGCAAAGATCACACCAACAGTCACAATGATTCCAGTTACCAGGCAAAAGACCAGAATGGCATCTGTCGTTGCTCTCCTTGAATGCCCTGTTTCTGTTGTCCTTGATTTTTTTGCTTTCATTTCTGAAGAAAGGAAATACATGGTCATTATTATGTTCAAATTTTCAAATGACTCAGACATTCAATCTGATGGACAGGACTGAAAAGGAGCAAGACTTGATTATTTACTATCTGACATCTTTTACAACCTTCAGGCCTTTCCTGCATCAGCAAGAGTTAGAATAGTAACATTTTATACCTTCTTTGCAAAGGCATATCTAACCAAGGAAGATGCAAAGAAATGGAGATCAAGGCACGTGGAGTGGGGTACATGTCACTTCACAGCTGCGAAACACAATGAACTGCAATTCCTAAAGACAAGGAAAAAATTAAAAAGAGGGAAAAGTATCTATTTGGTACATGTTAAGAATGACTAATATAACTATACTTTTGCTTTAAGAAATGCTTTAATGTAAGGTTTCAACACACATCCATGTAAGATACGTGAACGATAACGGCAGCAGAATTACCACAGGCTGGGTGCCGCTTGAGGCAGGGGGACTTCTTTGTTCTATGCCTGGTACCAGGTGCTCCATCACCCAGGGCTGAGGCACCAAGGTACCACTGTGCTACAGAAGAATTCTAACAATGGTAATTGCTGCAATAATAATGATAATAATGAAGCCAAAAGAGAGTAGCCTAACAAAAGACTGGATTCAAGGACTTAAGTGCTGCTTTTCAGTTCCCTGACTCTATCTAGGTCTGCAAAGCCTTTATTTAAAGCAAAGAACCAATGAGCATGGAAAGGAGTTTTTCTGCATGGCCCAGAAACACACAGCAAGGAGCAGCTGCATGAAGCTGAGAAGTGAAAAATGTAGCAAGGACATCATGTAAAAATGCACTTTGTAATGCTGCAGCCTGTTCAACCACTCACCTAAGGAAACTGAGGGCCCTGCTGTTACTTGGGCTGCTTCTCTAAGAACAGACGTACCAGTTGGGAGTTGACTCTAACAAACAACGCAGGAAGAGTGGAAAATGCTGAAGATGGTCAATCAACTTCCCCCATCTGCTTTCTGACACTGGATAAAGAAATGCCTGGGAACCAAACCCAGCCACCTTCTTCTGAAGTTTAATTGACCTTATTTGTTCAGCCACATTCAATCAAATCAATGAACTGTCAAGCATCTTCCCAGATCCTGTCAGCTTTGACAATTTTACACAAGCCAACCCTAATTTCTCTTTCATTTTGCCTCATATAGTTTCTAAAACTATAAGGTGCTATCTCGTTGCTGACTGGTATGCAAAATTCATGTTCACCCTGGTAGGAATTCTGTGCAGCAGAATGACTGCAGGAAAAACCACTTCTATTTCTATTTCTATTTCATTTCTACTTCTGTATAAGGTCCTGTGCCACTCTCACCGCTGTATTATCTAAGAAACTCTTCCATCGCATCATTTCAGTTTCATTCTCCTGCGTCACAGAATTTTCATTCTGATATTCTTAAACCATAGCTCATGTATAGGATTCTCCTGATATTTCTGCAAGATACAGGACAGGCAAGAACGGTGAACTGGCTGAGAATATCATATGTAGTAAGTCTGAATATGGGGGTTTCCATACAGTATAGAGCTAACTGCTTCTAGACTAATTCACTTCCCTGACTGGACCGTGTCTTTTTAGAATTACATGCAGCTGTGGGGCATGGAGGTTAATGAAAATTATCTTTGATTTTGCAATTTCATTAATGTAATACATTTTCCCCTTGGCAAGATGTAAATTTAGAGCTCTAAGAATACCTCTGTTTACAGGCTGTTACAGAAGCCTACTGAAGAGAAAAGCAAGTTTTATGTTATCCACTGCTAATCTACTCAAGTTTTCTTCCTAGGCAAGAAGTTTTTCCAGTAGTCAAGAACCAGAACTGCCCAAGAGACAACCTGATAATACAGAGGGGATGCCTTCCAAGTAAATACACATGTTTAAAATGCAGGCAGGAAGCAGAAAGAAAAGCAGCTTCCCAATAACCTTGTTTATGATGAGCAAAGACTGATTCACATCAGGTGCACTTAAGCCCCTGACTGCATGGCTAAAGTCCAGGCAACACTCCCAATTAGTCAGTGAGAGTTTTGCCACAGCCAGAATATGTCTTAAAAACATCTTCAGCTTACAGTTATGGTTACAAAGATGTATTTACACCAACTTTTTTTAAAAGTCCTCTTAGGTTAGTAAAAAGAGGAAGAACAATTCATTTTTTAAGCAAGCCAAGCCTCTTTCAATCACTTCCAAGTTCGAGTCTACAGCCCACTGTCAGTCTGTGGACTACTTCACTATAAAGGATGATGAAGAAAACCACTATCATATATCCTCTACAATTACATTGTAAAAAGTTCCTAAAATTGTGTGCATCTCCACTGGAAATTTCCCAGGGTTCTACAAACAAAAAAGAGACTGGTAACACACCTGATAGTTTCAAGCAGATTGTCTCCAACCCTTTTGGTAAAAGCTTGGCATTCTCACTTTACCTGTTGATTATTTATATTCATCTTAATTAAAAAAGGCATGCACTTTAAATGAAATCCAAGGGTACAGGGTACTGCAGTTAGATTGTAGGCACTGTTGGAGCTAAACTATGAAGATCCATTTATTTGTGCAAGTCTGAACAAGGCAGGAAGGAAGGAAAAGAAGGAATGCTCAGATTTAGTATTTAGCTTTGAGGCCAGCCCTGTGGCAGAAACCCCAGAGTATGCTGGTCATGGCTCACGGACGCCTTTCCCACAGCTCAGGTGGTCCAAACACCGCACACCCCTTCAACCCCAGTCCCTATCTGCTATGCCAATGGGGGGACAACAGGCTGGATTGAAGGAAACCAAAAGTGTCATCTGTATGGCCACTACCAGCTGCTAAGAAGCTTGACAGCTTTTTTACCTTCTTTGTACCATCAGAACAATAGGACCTTAGAAAGTAACTGCTTTCTTATTTGGGCCGAAAGAGATACATCACATACCTCCCTCACACCAAGCACCAGAGCAGGACAGCAGCACATACTCTGCTGTGGTGTGGCCCAGCAACTATATTTGCATTGTATACCACAGTTTAACAAAGCTGCTTTGTTTTCTATGCAGTGTGGTGCATCTCTGGACAGTCCTCTGCCTTCATGGAACCCCCTGCCCTTTAATACGTTTAAATCCAAATACATTCAGAAGCATCTGTTGCCACTGCTAGCACTTCCCTCCAGAAAATATCAGCAATACAAATTCTGCCTCTGCATTCTATTCACTCATTTCTTCAATAAGAAACAGATTCATAATAATGTAAATCATATACATCAAGAAAGTGGAACACCTGCTTTTTCAGCACCATTTCTGTCCAACGGAAACCCATGATTTCTGCCAGCAGCACTGTTCCTCTTCATCCTCCTCTTCCCCTGTGTTTTTCATTGAGCTGGAGTTCCTCCTAGACCACAATGTTGACTGTACAGCAGTGCTCCATCTCAAGCAGACGATTAACCAATTGTTTACGTGGTCCAGCAGCCAACAGGAGTTCTTTCCACCAGTATTTTCCATCCAGAAAGTACGTATCAGTTTGGCAGATAGGAGTGAGATTTTGCTTCTGCAGACTGTTTGTAGGTTTTTTTCCCTTAATATAATGGTGATGTGTAGCTTTTTTGTTTCCCTTCTAGATTATGTATAAGCCTTTTTCTGTGTATTAAAAATGGATGGATATATGCTAATGGGAGAGCAGGATTACATACACACAGAGGAGATCCAAGCTGTTAATCTTGGCTACTGGGATTCCCCATTTCATTTCTGTGCAAATGCAAGGACAACATGGCCATGCTGATTACATGTTTGTATGGTAGCTGGTTAGAGAGATGTGACTTTTCTCTCTCAAG